TCATGTCATTCTTGCATGAATCGCGCTCCAAGCATGAATGTGCGTGGAGCAATCTCGTACGTCTACCGCGCATTTATATCGCGCCGTGTATGGGTTTGCAGAGCTTTCTATCACATTTTTTCTCCTGGGTTCCGGACTATTTTTGGTTTAAACACCATTTCGTTGAAAGCTACACAACGGAGTCGTTATATAAAGAGAAGTTCTTATCTGAAGGAATAAGCTGGCCGATTTCAATTTTGCATGCCTTCTTTTGACCTCAGTTGTTTTAAAGTACATGAATATATGTATATAAATATACATACATATATCTATGTACATGCACGTATGTACGTGTAACGCATATATTTATGTAAATATATATTTGTATATATGTATATATTTGTATATGTGGCAGCTGCCTTGTTCAGGTATGACCAGAAAGTCTGCGAAGAAAAGTGGCGTATGTGGATCTGGGAGGCATAAGATATTACGAAAACCCGAAGCAGTTCAAGGTTTGTATGCCGTACTTATTGTAAGTTTTGTATACTTAATTTTATGCATCTCATTCAATAGCTTCAAGTAAGAAATTACTGCTTATCGTACACCCTAATACGTTCTTTTGGTAATCACGCCATGATCGCTTTTTTCCAATATCACGTTTCGCTTTGAAGACCTCTCTTTGAAACTACATATTGCGGTGGTTCTCATTTTATCCTTCCATATACAACCTAATTTACATCGTAGCACTTGCTATAATTTGCCGTGTTCTGTAAATAAAAAAGATTTCCGTTTTAGAAGACGCGGAAGTGGGTACCACAGACAGTGCTTCTGTTGAAAGGCAAGATTCAGATGAGGTTTATTCTGCAAAACGACAAATCCAAATCTTTTCTCTAAAAATTTTTTTTATAGGAGTTTGCAGAGCCGGGACCAGATAATATGTTTTCCGATCCTGATGTATGCGACAGTCTTGATGAAACAGAGGCAAGTAGCGACTATCAAGGACTGAGATCAAAAACATCCAAATCTGGGGGTGTGCCAAACACCGAGGTTTCTTAAACTGAAAACTTGGAATTTTTTTCATTTTGAATATCGATTGCA